CCTGCCTTCGCCAAAAACTAATCAGCACGTCTCCTTATCAATACGAATCAAATGTTTTTTGAATTATTCAAATCGGTTGATCCGTGTTCCCGAAATCGTCGACGAAAATTTGTATCCGCACATACATACACACACGTACATACATACATACACACATACATACTACGCGCACACACACACACACACATACTACGCGCACACACACACACACATACATCCATTTTTTCTAAGGTATGCCAAAATGTTCAGAAACTTCTGAATCGTAGAGATATATAAAAATTTTCATTTTTGATTTTTTTGCGATTACTATAATTTGCCCTACGGGAAGTTAATAATATCGTTAAGACTATTATAGAATCTGAAAGTACCCAATTTTTTGGTTTTGCTTGCTTATCTTTCTATAAGATAAAACAATCTAGCTTATCCGAGAATAGTCCATTTAGAAGCTATGTTTCGGTAAAATGACCATAACATAGCATTGTCATGGCAACAGCTGTGGAAATGCAATGAATTTGTTGTGCAGTCAGGCGTGTTTAATATAGAACCTAGACTAGAAAACGCACAAATGACGAAAAAACAATGTTATCATAATTGCATCTTTGTGTTATGGCTTAATAACATATAAATAAAGTTGCATTTTATGTGTAAAACGCCTGATCACACAGCAAATATATAGCATTTGCACAGATTTTAGTACCAAAAAGAAGCGTTGCCATAACAAATCTATGTTATGGTCTATTTCTTCGGAGAATTGGCTCTTTAATGTCCATGTCTCTCACTTTTTACATTTTTATTAAGCTGAAAGCCAATAACAATGTCACATTCAACTGTATTTTCCAAAAATCGATTAAAATTAGTCACATATCTTACCTCAATGTAAGTTTTCCGATCGCTTCACGAATAACTCTTATTATATCCAAAGATCTTCGAAATTCCGACATTTTTGTCTCGTACTCGGCGTCCAATTCGCTTATCCTAATAGTTGTCTTCTCCAACTCTTCTTCACTCCTGAAAAAATAAAAAATAATGAAACAAGTTTGAATTTTTTGAAGTAAAACTTCTTTAGGCTCGTCTAGGGAGTAAATCTGTGGAAAAGCAACGGAAATACGTTACGCCCGGACTGTTCGTCATACGCTCTCGATGAGATCATTTCTATACGGGTCGATTGTGATTGGCCATCGTAAAATTTCAATTATTTATTTAATTATAGTAAAAAATTAAAACAAATGAGACATTTGTGCCGTGTACTTAACGTTAGTTTATTAATTAGAAATTATTTCTATATTATTCGTAGTTTCTATAAATCTTTAAAGTTATTATAATGGAAAATATTTTTAGGCAAGGCAGATATTACAGCTGTTCAAAGAATGAGACTGTATCGCCAGCGAAAAAATAAAAAAAATACAAGCAGTCAATTAATGTATGTTAATTTTAATTACATGAAGTTCTTCAAACATAATTATTGCATGATGAGTGAAGTTGCGAAAACAATATTTGTTTAGGCGTTGTTTAACATAATCCACTGTATTGACGAATATTATAGAATTTATTAATCACCAATTATTTCACTTCTTCAATAAAGATTCAAGTCCTAAATGCTAATTACAATGACAAACCGATCATGTCGTATTTATGAGTATGATTTTAATTACTTTATTGTTTTCAAATATTTTAAATATTTTTAATGCAATCATAAATATATAATTTATAATTTATCATTATATAAATATGTATAATGGTCGACACTAATAAATGTGTGCATCACGAGTGTTACCATATTACTAATAAACATTGTTCAGAATTGTTATATGATGTATTTATTTTTACTTTAATGTCATCAGTAGCGAATAAGTTTTACTTCAATCACGTGTGAACCTTACGCGCACTCTTTTTTTATTACGCGAGTGAGATGAAAGATATTACGTACGGAGAGAGAAAGAGACAGCTATACAATTTGAGCGAAAGAGAGCGAAGGATGCAAAACAGAGAGAAAATATCGCTATTGATATTGACTTCACATCATTGGAGCGAAAGAGAACGACTTATGCGCAACTTTGTAGAGTGACAGAGTAAGATATATGAACGGCAGATATATCACTCGTGTTAGCAAAATTTATCATTTTCACCTTTGTTATAAATAAATTTCAAATGTTTCATATATATTTGAATATATGTACAAAACATTGTGGAGCAAATTTGCTCCAAATTAGGTTAAATGTGCCATGACATTTGCAATATAGAAACAAAAGAATGTATTAAATTATTATTATAGATCGATGTCTAATAAATCATCGTAGAATAGTAAAGTAATGAGTTTTAATTAAATATACATTTAGTTATTTATGGAATGCACTCCACATTGTGCACTTAAATATAATTATAGAATAAAATTCAATAAGACTCTCGTTACACTAATCTTTTTTTCTTTAATTTCGTTTTACTTTTTTACTTTAATTTCACTTTAATTTTATAATATTTTTATTTAATTTCTTTTACTCACGCGTCTCGGGTGCTGGCATCGTCAGTGCACTTGAATGCCTCCAACCGAGCCAATTTCTGCTCCCGTTTCTGCTCCAATTTTTGCTTGTCTGCTTCGGCGTCTCGGCGCAAACGGAGCAGACGTTCCGAAGATTGGCGTTGGGCTTCGAATCTTGCCAAAACTTCTTCGGTACTGGTAGCACCTGGATAAAAAATAAATGTTGAAGAATGGAGAATCTGGAAGATTATCGGACTGATTCTGCCGCATAACAGACATATGTTATGGCAAGGCCATGTTACGCTCCAACTTCCATACATTATGCTAATAAATTTTACTGAATACTGTCAAAATGTCATGTATTTGCTGTGCATTCAGGCGTTTTACACATAAACTGCAAAGTCACTCGTATGTTCTGAAGCTGGGTCAGAAAGACCCTGTTGTCTAAGATCGTTGTGCCATTTCTAGGTTCAGTTTTCTATCTGACAATCTGAGAAATACGCCGGACTGCACAGCAACCACATGGCTTTTGTCAATATTTAGTATGGAAAGCTCTTCATAACATGGCCTTGCCATAACATTTATGTTCATTACCGGTGGCGTCTTTTAAAACTTGGAACAACTTTTCTAGACGTTCGTCCTCCTCGTTCTGCTGCTGGTCAGCACGCTGCTGCTGTTGCCCGTTTTCAGTTTCGCTATCTTGATGTTGCAGCAGTCTGCTCCCACCGGCTAAAAAATTAATAATAAATAGGGAATAAGATATTGTAAATTTTACGTTGCACTTGCAACCATAAAGTTTCAAGACAACCTGTTATCAAGCAGTAGTGACTTCCATTTTGACTTAAAATTATAAATCTAAATATGTTTAAAAGTCATAGTTCTTTTTTAGTATTGCTAAACATAAGTCGCTATGAACTTGAAATTGCAACAAGATTCAGAAATATATATATTATATATTAGAAATTTTACGTTGCACTTGCAACCATAAAGTTTCAGGACAACCTGTTATCAAGCAGTAGTGACTTCCATTCTTACTTAAAATTATAAATATGTTTAAAAGTAAATATAGTTTTAGTATTGCTAAACATAAATCGCTATGAACACGAAAGTGCAACAAGGTTCAGAATGTTGAAGACTTGCCGTGGCTCTGTAGTAGGTGGGTTGGTCTTGCAACCTTAAGGTTCTGAGGCAGCCTGATAACAAGCAGCAGCAATATCAAGAATTTTGTTTTATCAATATATTGTAAATTAAATTGAGAAGAATATAATTCGAATTTCCAAAACGGGTTCCAAATTTTAAAAATATTAATCCGGAAAATCAAATTGTCATGTAAAGTGGATAAAACGAATGCCATTCATAAAACACTTGCCAAGTCATCAACTCTATAATATACATTTTTTAATGTAGTCAGTATTACAGAAATATAGTGGTAAGAAAAGATTTTGCCTGTCCTGGATAATTTTGTTCCAATTGGCAAATTTTTTGATTATCATTTTTGAAGTAAAACTTCTTTAGGCGCGACTAGGGTGTAAATCCGTACAAATGCAATGGAAATAGCGTTACGCCAGAACTGTGCGTCATTCGCTCTCGATGAAATCATTTCTATACGGGTCGATTGTGATTAGTCGTCGTGTATGTGAATAGAGATCTTTCGTTGTATGCGTACCGGCATCAACGTTGTATGTGTACCGATATCAACAAGGAATTCGGCATAGATAAATAAATATTTTAAAGTTACATCGCAGTACAAATCTTGATTTAATGAAAAAACGCCTGAATCAGAAGAATATTTTACTCTGTTCCTTGAAAATGATAAAACAAATTAAAGATTTGTGCCGTGTACTAAACGTAAGTTTATTGATTAGAAATTATTTATATATTATTCGTAGTTTCTGTAAATCTTTGAAGTTATTAAAATGTAAAATATTGTTTATGCAAGACAGATATTACAGCAGTTCAAAGAATGAGATTATATCGCCAGCGAAAAAGTAAAAAAAATGCAAGCAGTCAATGAATGTATGTTAATTTTAATTACATGAAGTTCTTTAAGCACAATTATTACATGATGAGTGAAGTTGCGAAAACAGTATTTGTTTAGGCGTCGTTTAACATAATTCACTGTGTGAACGAATATTATAGAATTTATTAATCAGCAATTACTTCATTTTTCTAATGAAGGTTCGAGTACAAAATGCTAATTACAATAACAAACCGATCATGTCATATTTGAAGAATGACTTTAATTACATTATTGTTTTTAAATATTATACATATTTTTAATGCTATTATAATTATAAAATTTATAATTTATCATTATATAAATGTGTATAATGGTCGCGACACTAATAAATGTGTGCATCACGAGTGTTACCATATTACTAATAAACATTATTCAAAATTGTTATATGACGTATTTATCTTTAACTTAAATGCCATCTTGTACAGTAGCAAATAAGTTTTACTTCAATCGCGTATGACCCAACTCTTTTGTTTTAAATTACAAACTTCCATATTACAAGGAATTTTAATAGTTGTTTTTGCAAGGCATTCCAGTAGCATTTCGTTCTGGATGCGACATATTAAGATAAAACATTTTTATATACAGCTATATAACCAGGAAAGGCGATTTTTACTTGGGATTATATTTGGAATCTACACCTTCAAGTGGAAATTTGATGTCATGCTGCTTGATATCAAGCTGACCGGGAATAGTTTTTACTAGGTCATATCCAGGTTTCTAACAAGATAGTAGAGAGCCCATGGTTTTTCACTACAATGTAAACGTGTCAAAACATCCACATTATTCACTCATTCCATTTTTGTTAAAAAGTCGTGGACTATAGTCCATGGTTTTACACGATTCAACACATCTACATTTTTCACTCACTTCAATCTCTAGTGTTTAGTTATTTTCTTTTACCTGCTGGAAAAATGGTACGTTCCAATCTCTCCAATTGTAATTTTCTCTGCTGCACTTGACCACGTAACTCTTCCGTCTTTTTGCTCCTAGCGCTTGCTGCACGAGCTGCTCCTTGCTCCCTGGCGTGGAGCAGTGCTCTTGTCTTGTCTCGGAGGCGAGCCGCTTGGGTATAAGCATTCTAGATAAAAAAAAAACAATATTATCAAGGTTTTTGCTAAATATAACAAATGGAATTTTTTCCAATTTCCTGTTTTAATTTTTTTTATTTAGAGTGTAGCAGGATTATTTCCTAGTTACCTGCAGTTTTTCTATCTCCTTCGACATTTCCTGCCACTGCTCCTTGGCCTGTTGCAAACGCACATCGTGTGAAGCCCTGTCCTGCTGCAGGGCCAAACGCATCCTTCGATACTCTCGTCGGACGTGTTCGCTCTCGAATCGAAGCACTCGGGCTCTTTCGGCACGGTTTTCTAACGAAGCTTGCTGAAAGGGAAATAGATTGAGGATATAGATTATAAGGGTTTTATATAATATAATAATAATAAGCTGTTTTTAACTTTCTACTAGTTAACTATGTTGGTTTTTATATAATGCAACCCAAATTGGTGTCATATCTCTATATGATGAATTTTATTATTACAATTACAGTAATGATGATGAATTTTTTGAAGTAAAACTTCTTTAGGCGCGACATGGGTGTAAAGTAATCGCTTGCATGATTCGCGCTTACGACGCTAGTAAGCGCAGCTATCTCAATTATTCGAAATGTCAAATCATATGTCAAAAACAAAACAAAATGTGTCGACTCTCACTTGAGTTTTGTATTTAGCTCGTAGTCTCTAAACATTTTTTGAAGTAAAACTTCTTTAGGCGCGACATGCGTTAGCAGTATAATTCGTGAGTTAATAAAAATGTCAGGATCGGAAGAATATTTTATCCCGTCCCCCATAAATAATTGTAGTGCAAATGATCGCAAATAAATAATAAAACTAAGGAAAAAAATCTGCGCCGCGTAAGAAATGATAGCTTTGGCTATGTATGTTTTGTGTGTGATTGATTGACTTTGGCTTCAAAGTGGCTTAGAAATATCAAATGATGCTCAAAAACAAATTCTTAATAATGGTTTTCTGAATATTGATTCAAATAATCAGGTTGGATGTCAAACTTGTCGAAAGATATTAAATTCGGGTAACATTCCCACTTTGTGTAAATTTAACGGGTTTGTATTTCCACCTATACCAATTTATCTACCCAAAACTAGATACTGTATCTGAAAGGTTAATTTCACCTAGGTTGTGTTTCATGCAAATTAGACGATTGCGACATGCAAATGGACAATTTGGAATGTTTGGCCAAATTATAAATATGCCTGTTGACATTAATTATATGGTTAATTTATTACCTCGTAATATTGATGATGATCATTGCATTAACGTTCACATAAAAAAGAAAATGATTCATAGATCAAGCTATGTGCAGGGCTTGATAAATAAAACAAATATAAAAGTATGGCTTCAATTTGTTAGGCAAGACGGATATTACAGCTGTTCAAGGAATGAAATTATGTCGTCAGCGAAAACGTAAAAAAATACAAACAGTAAATGAATGTATGTAGTAAATGAAATAAGTTTTACTTCAATCGCGTGTGATCCTTACGCGCACTCTTTTTTGTTATTATTATTACCTTAAGTTTGTCGTTTTTCTCTCCGCCTCCTGCTCCGGCACTGGCCGGAGGTTCCGGAATTCCGTTCCCGGCGTGACTGAGCGCCACTGCTTCCCGGAACCGCCGAGCAAGTGCTGCCATCTCTTTACGCCTGCGACGCCTCAGATCCCGGAGCAGGTCTAAGCGCTTTCTTAGTTCGGTTTCTTTTAAATCTGCAGCCTTTAATAATAATAATAATAATAAAAATTGTGCGCAAAGGTTCACACGCGATTGAAGTAAAACTTAATTGCTACTGTACAAGATGGCATTCAAGTAAAAATATATACATCATATAACAATTTTGAGCTAATGTTTATTAGTAATATAGTAACACTCCCGATGCACACATTTATTAGTGTCTCAATCATTATACACTTTTTTATAATGATAAAATATAAATTATGTATTTATAATAGCATTAAAAATATTTATAATGTTTAAAAACAATAATGTAACTAAAGTCATACTTCAAATACGACATGATCGGTTTGTCATTGTAATTAGCATTTAGGACTCGAACCTTCATTAGTGAAATTATGTAATTTCTGATTGATAAATTCTTTAACACAGTGGATTATGTTAAACAACGCCTAAACAAATATTGTTTTTGCAACTTCACTTATCATGTAATAATTGTGTTTGAAGAACTTCATGTAATTAAAATTAACATACATTCATTGACTGCTTGTATTTTTTTTACTTTTTCGCTGGCGATATAATCTCATTCTTTGAACAGCTGTAATATCTGTTTTGCCTAAAATATATTTTCCATTTAATACAACGACTCTATTCACATACGCGACGACTAATCACAATCGACCCGTATAGAAATGATATCATCGAGAGCGAATGATGAATCATTGGCACTCGACTCTTATTTAATCTCATCTGTCGTAACGCACTTCTGCTGCATTTGTACGGATTTGCACCCTAGTCGCGCCTAAAGAAGTTTTACTTCAATAATAATGTTACTGTTTTTGCTTAAGGTCAAGTTCAAAGCATCGCATTAATTTTACTTTTTTCCCCCTTCGTGGTTTATAGTTTAATTTTTACTTCTCGAACTTGTGCTGCCGCACTTTATTTCTAGTCTTTTTATTGAAGTAGTACTTCTTTAGACGCGAATATGGGGTAATTCTACGATATGAACTGACATTAGAGACGGAATTTTCTTTTTATTCTGATTCATCATTGGCCGATGACGTCATTTAAGTAGAGTTGATGCTATTGGTTATTTGATGTTTCAAAACAAGCAAATTGATATATTTGTTTAAATTAATGACAAATAGAGGAAAAACTTTAGGAAGAACAATTCTCAACCGAACAGTCATGATGAAATAGAAATGTTAAGATTTTTTTTTCATCTTTTCTTTTTTAAATACAATCATATCCAGTAGTTCGTTATTATTATAAATTAATATATTTGAATAATGGCTCTGTGCGGATTAGAGACATGGACTCTAAAGAAAAACGAAAGAATAAACTACCAACTATCAATGTTATAATATGACAATTACTTCTCTACTAGCAACTAAGCATCAATTCGAGAAATAAAAAGTGAACTATAAGCAAAGAATGGTAAATAGCCAAATCAAATGTGATGTTTTCACACCGTGGACTACTGACAATAATAATAATATAAACACGTCAATATTTTATTATTAATTAATTGATGATAACCAATAATAAAAATTTTACAAACCTGCAAAGCTTCTTCACAAGTCTTATCCTTAACTGGAATATCGCACTTGCCGACAGGACCTAAAAAAGAATATTTTACCAATTATCTATAAATTAGCTTTATATCTACTATATATTTCACCAATTATCTTGGATATCATCTAGTTGCTTGTATTATTTATTACAATGTATTTAATATGTATATTAGGGTTGTTCTTAATATGGACTTTTTTGAATTTTTTTGCTCCCAAAGGCTCAAATGTTTCCAAAGTAATAAAGAAAAAGTCTCTAAAAGTTTTAGCTCTTAATATTAACATTTAGATAGTCCGCAATTCAATTACAAATTTCGTATATTTATTATTGACATACATCATTAAGTAAATTCTTGCGCCATCTGTGATAGCATCTGTGAACTAAAACATTATGATACCAAAAAATACTTATAAATCACTTAACCTCTAATTAAATCCATGTGGGCTGTTTAACGAAATATTTATTCATCAAGGCATTAAAATTAATTCTGCAGCAAAATATTTATTCAATGGTGATGTTGACACTCAAATTTTAAATGATAAATTGCCATCAAAACTACAAGTCTGCTATCACAGATGGCACAAGAATTTACTTAATAATAAATGTATGAAACTTTTAATTGAATTGCGGACTATCTTAATGTTAATATCAAGAGCTCAAAATTTTTAGAGATTTTTTTTAAATTAATTTGGAAGCATTCGAGCCCTTGGGAGCAAAGAAATTCAAAAATGTCCATATTAAGGATCACTCTAATGTAGATATAGTGCAGTAAACGGAGCGTTTTAGGTCTGAATTTTATTACTGTGCTCCGAATTGCATGAAAATTTGGAATTAGGTTCATCTTACTCTCAAGTTCATAACAATTCGGGTTCCGGAGGGATGACACCCTTTCTCAATAGTGTAATTACAATATACTTATAATTAGTTCTTCTATCGATTTCTGACGTTATTTTGAAAAAAGTAATTACACAATTGAGAGGGGGTGTCATCCCCCCCGGGGGTTGATGGCGCAACCCGAATTGTTTTCACTTTTAAACTTGAGGGTAAGATGAACCTAATTCCAAAATTTCATTCAATTCGGAGCACAGTAAAAAAATTCAGAAGTTATATCCTTTTACCTCTCCGTTTACTGCATTAATATATATATTCGTTATATTTTTACTTACATTTTGATGCAAAAACGTCTTCTGCACCTCCTCTCCTGGTGGCCTTAATCCTGGCCTTTAATTCAACGATTTTCCTCTTCAGTCTGGTCACCTTGTTTTTGATTGCCCTTTTAGTCACATCGGCCTCCTCGAAATGGGCCTTACGTTGACCCTCTGGGTAAAAGAAATATGAAAACAATAAATAGTACAAAAATAACATACAACTCACTAAATTTTATAAATAAACCACTTGTCATGGTCCTATAATATTTTATAGAAATCATTCTTCATGTAAAATCTGCTTTATCAAAATTTCGTATTAGTAAACCTGAGGTTCTTCTTGTTAGTCTCTTGTTTTTCTATTATTTTACTTACGTTTAACGTGTAAACATTGTCGTTTAACGTGTAAACATGCAAAAAAAAATTGAAAATGAAGTAAAATAAGTCATTCTGATATCTTACAGTAAGATAAAAGACCGAACACAAAGAAGTTTCAATTAGGTAAAAATACTTTTATATTGAATAGATTATGAAACTTAACATAACCAGTTCACCAAGGATTGAGATAGGAGAAAAATCTTGACCAATAATAATTTGATTTTTCTATCATGCAATGTTACTTATTAATATTTTATCATTCACCTGAGAGTTGTATCTTTTTCTTGATCTCCAGAATTTTCTTATTGACCAAATTCAAAGGGCTGTCCTCGTCTTCACCATCGGATTCGTATCTAGGGCGTCCGCCCTTTTGCTGCACCGCCGTCATTCTTATAATTGTGCCAACTTTGTCCTTTTGTCATAAAATCCTGTAACTAAATTGAAAAGTTATATTATGTTCATTTAAATTATTTAGTTATTATTTTTGTACGACGAGCTCTCAAATTATTTTTACAGCCAATCATCTGCTGTCAGTAATATCTATATTATCACAGGCCCAGTTTTAGACAATTTAAATCCAGTAATACCCCGCTTAACGCCGTTTTGTTTAGCGTGGTTTCGGTTTAGCGCTTTTTTATTCAAGTCAAGCTCTGCAACTAGAATTACCCGTTTTAGAAATAATATAGAGGAAATAGATAAACAACTATCTATATGGCTTGACGACGAATTTTACTGCAATATGCCATCAAGCCAATATTCCCTCAACCCTAATATTTCCATGTAAAATAGTCTTTTTTTAGCGCTGTTTACTTTGGTGGAACGTATCCCCCGCGTTAAACGGGGTATTACTATATTTTGTTATTTATTACCACATTTATGTAAAAAATACTTCAAACAACTACCAAATAATGTCTTGTTTGTTTTTTTTGGACTTCTGCTATATAATTGATATGTGTATTTGACAAATTTTACTTACTTATAAATTTATTTAAACTTAACTCTTCTAAAGTTTTCGATAAGATTTATTTCGTATAGTAATTATACTTGAAGAAATAAACACAGACCTTGTCAATAACCTAACCTCATGTTGCTATGAAGAGTTTGATCGATTTATTTGGGAAAATAATTCTTATCCTTCTTATCGAGTGTAAGGATATATATATTATATATATATATATATATATATATATATATATATATATATATATATATGGTGGTCCTTGATATGGATATTTTAGAATTTTTTAGCTCCCAAGAGCTCAACTGCTTCCAAAATGATCAAAAAAATTTCTGGAAGTGTTAGCTTTTAATATTAGCTTTAATATAGTCCGCACTCCAAACAAATAATCATTTACAATGATATCATTTATTTATGACTATTTATTTTTTGCTTTAATTAATTAAATCTGCTCTACATTTTCTCATGCGGCAACACCGATGCAACAATAAATCAAAACGTTCGCAAACGTCGTCGCTTCTATTTATTATTATAATTGTATTTTCTATATGGTAAACTAATAAGAGAGTAATTGAAATTCAAATGGAAAAAAATTATTTATAAAGAGAAATATTATTATAAAGACGATTGTGGGAATGCAGAAATATATAAATCATTTAAAAAATATCGATAGTTACTAACCTAAGGTCAGTATTATTTTTTTTTAAAACGTTGAAAAATCTAAATTTTCAGAAAATTACAACACTTTTAGACAACAATTTCAGACAATTCTCGGTTTCACTTTTTTTTTCCTTCTCTCCAAAAATGTTTATCACCATCTCGTTGGAAATCGCACTAGAAGTTTCACTTCAAAAATTTGGTTTAGTCATGTAATTTTAATTTTATTTTACAAAGTTGATCGTAGTAAAAAATTTCTATAAAGACTAAATTTCTATAAGGAAAGGGTTTGCCTGAAAATAATTGTAATTGCATTTTTATAAATTTTTGTTGATTTTTTATCTAGTCATTTTCTATGTTATTTAATGTTACATTTTAATGGCTGGATCTACCTTTGCCAAAAACTAATCAGCACATCTTCCTATCAATAGAAATCGAATGTTTTTTGAATCATTCAAATCGGTTGATCCGTGCGCCCGAAAACGTCGACGAAAAATTGTCTCCATGCGTACATACATTTACACACAACACTTTTTTCTGAGGTATGCCAAAATGTTCAGAAACCTCTGAAACGTGAAGATATGCAGAAATTTTTATTTTCGACTTGTGAACTTTACAAAAAAGTTTAAAATACATGTATTGTAATTAGATAATAAGATAACCTGGAAACCG